TTGTGAAAAAAAATGAAACAAACATGTCATTCAAAAACTTCATTTATTTCAAAATGCACAATACAGTCACAAACGACAATTTGAATTTTATGGGGCTTCTTGGTTAATTCATGAACATTGGGTATACTAAACCCAAATGATTGTTTGGTAAATAGAACTTGCTAAAAAAATGAGAATTTTCATCAAGACCTCGTTTGACACATTTTTTTGCGTGGGCTGTCGGCTTTTTAAAAGCCATGTAGCTTGCGTTTTGGTCTTTTTCCGTTTTATTGGAAAAAGATCTAGTTGCCAAAAAGCCGCAGTCCCAAAAAGACGCAAAAAGACAATTTTAGGTTATTTTTGGGAAACTCCAAATGAAGTTTTTCACTTTTTTTGAAGAAGTACGGGCAAGCCCAATGCAGATTTCCGAATCCCATTGCAGATCTATAAACATTCGAAATGTCGAATACCCACATTCTATGCACCAATGTCTGCCCGTGAATTGGCATCAATTCCGAGCTGACACCTACCCTAACAATACTTTGGGCCTACAAATTCTGACCCTGGGTTGAACCGTCATTCTCCCTTTTTTCCAACTCATCTTTGCGCAGAAAGACACGCAAACAGATGCGTCTTAACCAAACGGTCTTCAAGTTGTTAAGATCTTGATGCAAAAGCTCACATCATCTTTTGACTATCAGAACTTCCAAAAGATCTTTCAAAAAAGACTTGCCAAACAACCCTAAGTTGTTTGAAGCAAAATATTTGTGTTTACTTTTTTAACTTAATTATATTTATTTTCCTATGCATGTCTTCACTTGAAAATGATTTCTTTATTTGCTTGCCTTTGATTAACATCATATAATATTCAATCTTTGTAATTGATTGGAACCCAAGAGTACATAAAAGCAATATTTCAGTGGCAATTGGAACAACAATAGGAACAATGGATCAATAATATTTTTGCTTTGTTGGTTCCTTTTGTAGCAACTTTAATATCACAATTTCATGGATTCATTTATAACTCAACTCAATTACTTTTTCAAAGTGAATGGACTTCATTGGTTTCAAGCTTATTGGTCTCTAATTTGATAGTGATAATATTAGATACCAAATTTATTTTTCTTTGTTATATATATTTATATCACTTTTTTTTTCTTGTGGATGTTGTCCTTTTTAATATTCTGAACTAACCTAGGTATGGGTTTTTTATTCTTTGAATTTAGGAAAAATCCCCTCCATTACTTGGTCAGCCAAGAATTAAAGTTTCAACTCTATCGTTAATATGAGTACTATTGGGGCTCTAATTTTTTATGGAACTTGTGACTTTATGTTCAGCTCAATCTTAGTTGTTATGATGATGACATCCTTGGTATTTTGTTACAATTTGTAATGCATTTAGTTGAGAAGCAACCCCTCTTCTAGGTTTCACCTTTAATAATATTCTCCTAAGTCCTAACTTGTTATAAAAAAATAGTTAACTCTCTGAAATCAATTTTTATTGGAAAAAAATTGTTGCATTGGATGTGATTTTTGACGGGTTGTCGAAGCCCTCAAAATTAATGCTAGTCCCACCCTACAATAAATTTGTAGTAACAGTGGTACCAGGTTGAATCTCACAGGGAGCTAGTAATTTCTCGGTCAAATGCGCAATTTAAAGAGTGGGAAATTCAAATGATTAAATTTATAAAATAACAATCAACGCAAAATAGCAAATAACAATTAACAAGGAAAATCCAGTCTTACCGAATCTTGATCCAAGGGTTCAGATTGAGTCAATTGGTCATCGATCATAGGTAAACTTCAACAGTCTTGCAGTTCAAGTATTTAACCTTAGTATTTATTAGGATAGCCATAATAAACCTCGTGCTTTCCTTAATTAGTTGACCAAACCTAGCATTCGATCAACACTTATCATTAACCGATTGGGTACGATAGCGTTCCATATCAATTAATGATAGCAATAACCTTTGTGAAAACAATTAAACCAAAATAACAATAATTGAGATAACTGCAATTATCGAATCTTGTTCCGTTGATTCCCCTTAGGTTAAAACATGCCAATACATTGGTCAAAGGCTGTCACGAACAATTGACCCAAAAAGATAATAACCTAATTGCTACTTGTACCACTATTCGTGACAATTACGGATCATCGAACCATGGATAACAGTAGAAAGATCAACATTAATTAATTTGTCAGACTATTTAACATTAACATCCATAAGAACATGCACAAGAATCAACGAATACTTGAATTAAAAGCAAGAATTTAAATTAAACACAAAACCTCACGATGACACAATTGAATCGAAAATCCCCCTTGAATTAGGAAAGAAAAGCTTAGCCGCTCATGGTTGTCGATTCCTTCTTGCTCTGCTTCCCAGATGGATGGACTGATCTTCTGAATTGATTGAGTTCTTGATTGATTG